GAGCGTCAGAATTCTCCTCAAATTCGTCATCAGAATTTGAATCGTGGTAAGAATGGGCATGTGAATTGGTATCCCATTCACATCAGACTCTTGCTTGCAATAGTCCTGTAAATTGACATCAAGATGAGCAACTAAATCGGCATCATTATCAGTATCAAATCATCACCAGTACTGGCATTGTACTCAGCACCAGAATCGGCAACAGATCCAACGCCAGACTTGGCCTAATACTCTTCCTTTCAATCGAGATCATAATCTGGATCATTATAATTGGGATCAGTAGTCGGCATCAGAATCGAGAAAAAGAATCTTCTCCAGAGTCAGGATTGGAATCGGTATCATGGTCAGTAGCAGAATCGGCATTAAAATCTGAATCGGTATCAGCAGTTTCCAACACTCTTTTGGAGGCTTGCTGTCCTGTATTTTGGACATTGCGTATCTGATATTGTCCAATCTCAGTGTACATGCACTGGCCTTGTTCACAGTCTGGCCGATTCGCTTGTCCACTTGGCGCTACAGGCCTGTGAGACAGACAATACAGGCCATTGGAGCTTCTGGCCATGCGTAAATCATTTCTCTTTGACAACGCCCGCCTCAATGTTTGTCCGCCATCGGCTGGACAACGAGCGACCAGACGCGCACCGGCCTACTCCCTTTTTCATTTTCTTTCGCCCCAGCTACCGTCCCAGAGGCCAGATTACCTGATCAGAAGAGACTACTGACCTGGCCACATGTCGAAGAAGTGGGGCCGGCTTGTCGACAAGTCGTCTTCCTCCGAGCGCCGTGGCCATGTAGCTCTGCAGGTTTAAGCCAACTTCGCTTACATTCACGACAAGTCCAGACCCATTCCGAAGACATCGCTTGAACTACCCTCCAAAGACTGTCTGGAGAAAAATCAGTTTTCAGACGAGTTGAGGAAGAAACGATGATGCGAAAATTCGTGTTGTTTGACACTTCGGTAGTTAGACCTTCTACTTAGTCTACACCAATGTAGGACAAAATAAAGCCCAAATGATGCTTACCATGTCTTATTTACTACTGACGTTCTAGCCGAGTAGTATTGCATGAAGAAGTTAAATAGAGATTAATTTTGTCCTCTAAAAATGCCTGTCACGATGCGTCCAACGAAAGCTGATCACGGATAGAGTAGAGAAGAGAACTTCTTCGCAAGCTCCGATGTCATTCGTTTTCATTTTGCTTTGAGATTAATCCACTAAAAACCCCTTCCGCCCACCAAGTTAAATAAAATAAAGTGACTAGCGGCATGTATTTGTTTTGGGGATGTTAACTGACTTTCTATTTTAAGTGAAGGTCCTAATTGACTTTAAATTGGGTAAATTGGGGACAAATAGGGTAAACACAGTTCTTATATCTAGTTTGACAAGCATGATGATTTCCAGAGTCGAACCGTGGATGGGATACATTTCCGCACGTTTAGCCAGCACTGTCAGTGAGTCTTGCCAATCTTATCATCAGAACAAAACTCGCTTAAGAGACAGGTGAAATCGATCCCTTGACCCATTCTCTGTTAAACAGTTGTGGTAACTCTCCTTCTTCCATGTGGTATTCACCTATCCTATACCATCGTTTCACCCATTTAAAGTCACCATTTCTTACTTGTTTAACCGCTGATTCTTCTCTTTCTCTTCAATATGCTGGAAGAGTTGGTTCAATATTGTCGTTTCTCCGCCATCCTCTTCTTCCAGGTCCTATCACAGTCTCGCTCTTGCTCAGTAGGATCAGTCTTTTATCGTTCTGATTCAGTGATTTCACTCCATCCTATCCGTGCTACTCAAGGCGTTATGTTCCACATGCGAACTTACTTCCATTTCGAGTGGAAGTGTTGGGTGAATAGAGTCGAAGACTACGGAGGATTCCTCTTGACCAGCTGTCGATTGGCTTTATTGAAAGATTCATGCTGACGCTGTTTCCAAGGTGATCTCCTTCGATTCCGGTGAAAAGGTGCTAAGCCTTCATCCGTCACATGACGAAATCTTAGCACCTTTTCACCGGAATCGAAGGAGATCACCTTGGAAACAGCGTCAGCATGAATCTTCCAGTAAAGCCAATCGCCACTTGGTCAAGAGGAATCCACCGTGGTCTTCTGATGCAACCGAGCTTCGAATCTCTTCACCCAAAACTTTCACTCGAAGTGGAAATAATCTTAACAGTTATGTTCTACACTCTGCCTCAAACCTTTGATAGCACGTATACACCAGCCTCAGAAAGCAAACCCCTAAAGTCTGGATTCCCCAATCGGCATGGTAACCTTATAGGTGAAGAAAAGTTGGGTTTCGTGGAATCTCTTGTTTCATAATTGTTGAGCTTACTTCCATTTCGAGTGAACATATTGGAAGGTCGTTTGCACCAGAAGACGACGGCAGATTCCTCTTGACCAGCTGTCGATTGGCTTTACTGAAAAGTTCATGCTGACGCTGTTTCCAGTGAAAAGGTGTTAAGCTTTCGTCCGTCATGTGATGAACATCATCAGCGCAAGGTACCATCATCACAACCAAATTCAAGCTAACGAGTCAATATATACTCTATATCTGGCCTCTTGATCAGGTATAAAGTGATTTGATTAGTTACGGTCATATGTCTGTGAGTGTGTCTGTCCATGTATGTGTATGCGCCTGTATGTGTTCCCGTAAAGCCAATCAGCAGCTGATCTTTTGGTGGAATTGACCTTCGAATCTCTTCACTAAACACCTTAACTTAAAATAGAGGTAAGCTCAACAATTATAAAACAAGCTATTCCTCAAAACTCCACTTTTCTTCGCATTATCTACTAATGGCCAATTATCGATGGCCTCTGCAGCACCCATGGCTCTTCTCTCCTCTTAGTTTGAGAATGTTCCTCTCTGGTTGCCATGCAATTTAGTTTGCTCAAATTGAAGATATTCCCCTTGATCTAACCGTCTTCCTTCTATTCGTATGAAAGTAGGGTTTCGAGACTACCAGTAACTCAGTTTAATGAGATGTATTCACCCTATTTCGTGTAAGGTGA